AATGCATCAAGCTGGAGTATATTTTTGCTAAGTAGTGGTAAATACACACACTTGTGTAACTCAAACCTCTGTCAAGATATAGAAGGTAATCATCACTCCAGAAAGTTCTCTCACGCCCTTCCCAGTCAATTCCCACCTTCAGCATCCCAGATGGTACAAATACCATCCACTGTGAGGATATTGGTTTGGCTGCAGATTAGCTGTGCCTGTTCTAGAACTTGAAAAGGAGTCATATGCAGAAGTATGTACTCTTCTGCATGAGGTTTCTTTCACTCACGTTTTTCAGACTGACCCATGTGACTGCGGGAGCAGTAGGTCAACCCGCTGTTGGGCTTGGCAGTTACTGTCACACATAGCACAGCTGTTGTGAGGAAGCTGCCTTTAAACATGCTTGTACCAGTCTTTTTGTGGCCACGTATTTTCATTTTTCTTGAGTAAATACATAAAATGGAATTTCTGGGTCATAGGGTAATGGTATATTTAGTTTTAAAAAGCCAATATAAACTACACGTATAGTTTATATTACAAATACCATGCATTGGTTCTGTGCCTATAAAAAAGGCAAGAAAGGAAAAAAGGAAAAGGAAAGTGCTACAGCCAGGCACGATGGCTCACGCCTGTCATCCCAGCACTTTGGGAGGCTGAGGTGGGTGGATTACTTGAGGCCAGGAGTTCAAGACCAGCCTGTCGAACATGGCAAAATCCCATCTCTACCAAAAATATAAAAATTAGCCAGGTGTGGTGGTGCGTGCCTGTAATCCCATTGACAAGGGAGACTGAGACATGAGAATTGCTTGAACCCAGGATACAGTGGTTGCAGTGAGCAGAGATTGTACCACTGCACTCTAGCCTGGGTGACAGAGAGAGACTCTGACTCAAAAATTTTACAAATGCCGAAGTGTTTCTTGAAACAAGGTGGCTGTACTCTCATTCTCCCACCAGCATATGAGAACCTGCACTGTACCACATCCCTGCCAGCCTTCAGTACTGTCAATGCTTTTGCAGGACTAGAACCTTCAGTGTACCTGGCTGTGGGTATTAGAAAGTGGGAGGGGCCTTGCGACCAGCACAGGCTGTTATCTCTGAGCCACTGTGGCTGGGGTCTCCTGTAGAATCCAGTTTAAATGTATTCCTCACAGCGCGCTGTTCAGACACCAGGAGAGGGAAGTAACTGTGGAACTAGGATCCAAGCCAGGATTTTTGGGCTTTATTTTTCTTCCCACCCTGGCTGTGAGGAGTGAAACAAGAGTGTTGAGAAAGGAGACCACTGTGCAAGGGAGTGTTGCGACTGCTGTACGTAAAATTTCAATGCCGCAAAAGAAAGAGCGCTCAAAGATGCATCCTCTCAGCAGGGCCGTTTACTTCTACAGAAGGGCGCAGCTCATGGATGGAGCAATGGTGGCCGCACGCTTGGACAAGGGGGGAAGGGGTACTTATGCCTACTGCTGTGTCGTCGTTTTCTGTTGGCTAGGGTTAGACTCCACAAGCTAGACTAATCCCAACTGGCTATTTTAAAGAGGAGGGGTCCAAGCTGGAGTGGCAGGGTGGGTATTTTGGTGGGAAGGACCGTTATGGGAGGGTTAGAGCAGGTAGCCAGGGGTGACCTAGGTCAAAGAAGGTGACTGGAGCAGGTGACTGGGATGAGTCAGGATGGAGCAGAGGCCAGGGGAACAGATGTGAACTACTGGTGGAGAAGGTTGTTTACTGGAATTACAAGGAAGTTAAACTTTAAAACAGAATTAAAGAATAAGAGAGCTGAACACACTGACATGCTGATTCTCTGAAGACAAACTTGGTGTTCACTGTAACACAACCTTTTCCCCAAGCCGGACAGGAAGCTCTGGTTCATGGTAGAATCTGGTATTTCTGAACCTGTGGGTTCAGATAAATTGGGGGTGGGGTCAAGGGAGGAGAGAAATGCTCCTCCAAAGACACATTCCTTCCACCTGCTGGAGGTCGCAGGTGATTAATCCTTCAGGCTCATGAAAGGCCTGGAGGAAAAGTGTCTGTTTATGTGCTATGCCCATTTTATTTTTTTTTTGAGACGGAGTCTCACCATGTCACCCAGGCTCTAGTGCAGTGGCGCCATCTCAGCTCACTGCAACCTCTGCCTCCCAGGTTTAAGTGATTCTTACGCATCAGCCTCCTGACTACCTGGAACTTGCCCAGCCTGTATTTGCATTTTAACAGCAGTCTACTGAGGACAGATAGCTTGGCCAGAAAAAAAAAACAAAAACAGTCAATCTTAGTTTTCCCAAATTCCTATCACAGACTCTGGCCAACAACATTGCGAGTTGGGCCACTCCTGTTGCCTGATAAAGCAGGAGAGAGACACGGACTTCAGCGTCACTGGGTCACGTTTTAAATGCCTGCTGTCCCTGATAAACTGTGGTGACCTAGGATTTAATAGAACTTCTCTGCCCTCCCCCCTTTTTTGAGATGGAGTTTCGCTCTTGTTACCCAGGCTGGAGTGCATTGGCGCTATCTCGGCTCACCGCAACCTCCGCCTCCTGGGTTCAGGCAATTCTCCTGCCTCAGCTTCCTGAGTAGCTGGGATTACAGGCACGCGCCACCATGCCCAGCTAATTTTTGTATTTTTAGTAGAGACTAGGTTTCACATTTTGGCCAGGCTGGTCTGGAACTCCCAACCTCAGGTGATCCGCCTGCCTCGGCCTCCCAAAGTGGTGGAATCACAGGCATGAGCCGCTGCCCCCAGCCTGTTTGTTTCAGAAGTGATTTTTACCTCTCAAAAGTGACATTTATAATGACACTGACTGAAAATTACATCAAACAGCCATAGCACATGTCAAGCACTCTGCTCGGCGTACCTCCTGTCACACTAAGGATAAGAAAGGAGAGAGAGTAATATTTGTTCTATGTCCTCTCCATTTTGGCCATCTTATGAGCTCTTCATAGAGGTCTGAAATGATTCGACACCCATATGGAAGACCGCATGTCCCAGGACTGATTTGCAGTCTGGAGTCCATGGCTCTCAGGATATGACTGGGGTGAGCAGGGAATTAGGACCACCTTGACCTCTAGCCGTCTTGTCCTCAGCTCCTCAGGTAGCCCACTCCGTTGGGGGCTTAGTGACCATGTTTGGGCTGCAGAGATAATTTTTTTCCTTTCACTCCTATCCTTAGTTTGGTGCTAACCAGGTGCCTCTCTGAAAACCCTGGCAGCCTCAACTGACATCAGGCTGCAGGTCCCTTGGAGTCCTACTGCTTTCTAATATTCTTTTTTTGGGAAGGCAGGGTTTCACCATATTGGTCAGGCTGGTCTCAAACTCCTGACCTCAGGTGATCCGCCTGCCTCAGCCTCTCAAAGTGCTGGGATTATAGGTGTGACCGTGCCTGGCTCCTACTGCTTTCTTACTGTCGCCAAAGCTTGGGTAAAATATGATTTTTCTGACGCTTTTTTTTTTTTTTTTTTTTGAGATGGAGTTTCGCTCTTGTTGCCCAGGCTGGAGTGCAATGGCAGATCTTGGCTCTCTGCAACCCCCGCCTCCTGGGTTCAAGTGATTCTCCTGACTCAGCCTCCTGAGTAACTGGGATTACATCCCAAGTAGCTGGAATTACAGGCATGCGCCACGACGCCCAGCTGATTTTGTATTTTTAGTAGAGAGGAGGGCCCCTCCTAACTGTTCTCCTGGGACTCCTATCCCAAGCCGATTTCCGCCCCGGAGGTCCTTCTCTGTAGAAATCCTGACGCAGCCCCTAGGCTCCTTCGCCGTGACGGCTACGCTTTTTTATTTGTAGCTGGAATGTTTTGTGCGTACGTTCTCAGAACAACAAAGCGGAGCTTTTAAAGGCTTTTCTGTGGGGTCCACAGCCTCGCCACCCCCAGCCCCGGCCGCGGCCTTAGAATGAATGAAATAAGCGAACCTCGCTCCCCGCTCCCCGCCCCCCGCCCCGCCCCAGTTGACCCCGCATGCAAGGATCTCGGGCCCCGGTCCTGGCGGAGGCGGCCCGGTGGGGGAAGGGGGTACTTCTCTAGGAGGGGTGGGGGCCTTGGGGCAACCTAGAGGGGATTTGTACCCATCCCCTGACCCCAATTCGCAGGGTTTCGCCACGCAGGGCCCGCAGGGCCCCGAGCCCCTCTTCCCCAGCCCTTGCGCTCAGTCCCCTGCCGGCTCGTGACAGTGTCCCCGGGCGGCAGGTGACCGGATGTCCCCGGGCGGCAGGTGACCGGAGGCGGTGCGAAGCCGGGGAGCGGGGAGCGTGGGCGGTGGGAGGGCGCGGGCGGGGCTGCGCGGCGGTCACGTGGCGCGGGGCCGGGCGGGTACTTAGGGCCGGGGCGGGCCCAGGCTACGGCGGCTGCGGGGCTCCGACAACAGCACGGGTTCTCGGCGACTGCGCTCGGTGAGTGCGGGCGGCGCTGGGCGCCGGGCCACCGCGGTTGAAGTGACCTTGGCTGGTAGGTGGCCACCCGGGCGCTGAGAGGGGTCCCTCTGCACCTGCAGCGGGTTCCGGGCGCAGCTTCGCGGCTTCCCTGGGGACCGGCGGGGAACGGGGACCCTCCAGACTGTGCCTGCCTGGCGGGCGCGGGTGGAAGCTTGCGAGCTCCGAAGCGTCGGCGAGAAAAGCGGAAAACAGCCCCGCCGTCCACCCCCTCCCCCGGCTGTGCGCTCCCCTGGAGCGGGGACGCAGCCCGGAGCCCGGAGGGAGGCGCCTGGGAGGAAGAGCTCGGCCGGGCTCGGCGACTGCTGCGTGGATTGCGCTCCCCGCGCCTGGGCCTGGGCGTGCTCCCGACAGACTGCCAAGATAATCGCATCTGCCGGCATCTGTTTTCCTTTTTTTTCCCTCCTCATTCCATAGGATTTGCCTGCGCAACTTTGGGATGAGGAGAGAAAATTCCTCGGAGCTCAGAAGACAGGTCCTGTCGAAGAACCAGGATCTGGAACTGGGTGGGCTGGGAAGGAACCCGCACCGAGTTAAATCCATAAACAGGAAGCGAAACTAACCAGGGGCGAGTGGGCGATTGGATGCTGGGTGGGAAGAAGGCGGGGGCGCTCGCTGCACCTGGACTTAAGGAAAGGGAGGCCGGGCAGAGTTCCTGGGGCGCCACCTTTCTCTCGGTTTGTGGCCCTGGAGGCCAAGGGGAATTGGGCTTTGGGGAGCAGCAGTGGGTGCCTGGGTGTGGGGCGCTGCAGGCAGGCAGGCTGGGGTGGGCGACCCAGGTGGAAGTGAACTGCACTTAGCTTCTTGATGGGCCTCGCTCACCGCCTTCCCCGGCCTCTGAGGAAGCCAGCAGGCTGGCAGGGAAAAGGACCCTAGGTAAGGCCCCACACTCCTCCTCTTGACCTAGGAGAGACCCCCAAACCCACTGGAGAAGGGACGCTCTAGGGTTCAAAGGGAGACCTGGCACTTTCTGTAGCCTGGAAAAACTGATCCCCGCTGCCTCCCGCCGGAGGTGAGGGTAGCTGAGATGCACCCTCTTTGAATCTAAGCATTCAGGAAGGTAACGGCAAGAGGCCTAAGAGGGCCGTTGGCTTGCTTTTTCTTCCACAGCATCCGTTCTTAGTGGAGAACTGTTTTTTTCTTTTTCTGTTTTTTTTTTTTTTTTTTTTTGAGATGGAATCTCCCTCTGTCGCTCAGGCTGGAGTGCAGTGGCGCGATCTTGGCTCACTGCAACCTCCACCTCCCTGGTTCAAGCGTTTCTCTCTCTCTTTTTTTTTTTTTTTTTTTGAGACGGAGTTTCGCTCTTGTTACCCAGGCTGGAGTGCAATGGTGCGATCTCGGCTCACCGCAACCTCTGCCTCCTGGGTCAAGGCAATCCTCCTGCCTCAGCCTCCCGATTAGCTGGGATTACAGGCGCGCGCCACCATGCCCAGCTAATTTTTGTATTTTTAGTAGAGACGGGGTTTCACCTTGTTGACCAGGATGGTCTCCATCTCTTGACCTCGTGATCCACCCGCCTCGGCCTCCCAAAGTGCTGGGATTATAGGCGTGAGCCACCGCGCCCGGCCCCAAGCGTTTCTTTTGAGTAGCTGGTGTTACAGAGGCCCACCACACCTGGCTAATTTTTGTATTTTTAGTAGAGACGGGGTTTCACCATGTTGACAAGTCAGGTCTGGAACTCCACCTCAGGTGTTCCGCCCTCCTCAGCCTCCCAGAGTGCTGGGATTACAGCCGTGAGCCGCTGCATCTGGCCAAGAACCGTTTATTGGCTCTGGTGATGGTGACCTAGAACCCGCAAGCTCCTGGAGAAAGGGGCTGGGCTGCCCACCCTGTGTAGCTTCCCAAAAACAGTCGAATGTCTGCTGGAGAACAATGGCATCCCCTCCTTTTTGGTCATTTGTCCCCGAGCTGGGGGTACCCCCTGGTGGAAAGGCACAGGTCCCTTGGCCTGGGTGGCAACGCAGGCGACACAGCCCTGGCACAGCTCTCGCTCCAGCAGCTCTCCTGGATGTTGGCTCAGAACAGCCCTGTTTCCAGCTGGGCAGGCCGTGAGGGGTGGTGGCCCTTTGGCTCCAGGTTGAAACTGCCCGTGTGAGGCTGATTTAGCAATTTGGTGAGGCTCTTGCTGCAGGCAGGTTCTTTTCACAGCTGCTGGAACTGGGAGTTGGAAGAGAAGCTGCACCCATTTTAGGGGGTAAAAGATTTTCTGTTGCTCTTGGTTGGACTGGGAAGTGAAGGGAGGTCATGTTTCAGAGGTGCCTTGAGATGTCTGTAGGTGATTTTCATTTCCTTTTTTTATGACGGAGTGTTGCTCTGTTGCCCAGGCTGCAGTGCATTGATACAATCTCTGCTCACTGCAACTTTGGCCTCCCAGGTTCATGCAATTCTCCTGCCTCAGTCTCCCGAGTAACTGGGATTACAGGCATCTGCCACCACACCTGGGTTTGGTTTTTTTAATTAAAAAAAAAGGGGAGGCAAACAGGACCTAGCTGGATCTTTACGTCTTTAGTAAAGACCGGTTATCACCTTGTTGGCCAGGCTGGTTTTTGAACTCCTGACCTCAGGTGGTCCGCCTCAGACTTCCAAAGTGCTGGGATTGCAGGTGTGAGCCACTGTGCCCAGTGGTGATTTTCCAAATCTGGTAATGAGTTGTGGTTGTGTAGAATAGTATCCCTTCCTTTCGACATATGGACTGAATACAGGTATGTATTCTACCTCTTCTCTTTTTTGAGGCAGAGTCTAACTCTGTTGCCCAGGCTGGAGTGACACAATCTCGGGTCACTGAAACCTCTGCCTCCTAGGTTCAAGCAATTCTCCTGCCTCAGCCTCTGGAATAGCTAAGATTACAGGCATGTGCCCCCACGCCCGCCTAATTTTTGTATTTTTAGTAGAGATGGGGGTTTCACCACGTTTGCCAGGCTGGTATTGAATTCCTGACCTCAGATGATCCGCCAGCCTCAGCCTCCCAAAGTGCTGGGATTACAGGCATGAACCACTGTGCCTGGCCTGCTGCCTGTTTTCCATGGTCTGCCATAAGGAAGTTGTTGGAAATCTGTGCGGTTGAGTGATAGGAGTTGGGCACTTCCACGGGGCTCATGTAAAGGGGAATGGCGGGTGACAGGCAGCTGAGTCTAAGGGCACAGCTGAGTCTAAGGTGTGCTGTGCCTCTGGGAGATGGGGTGGCAGGCAGCAGTCTCTGCGCCTGGTCCCTTGCTGCCTGAGAAGAGTGTGTGGGAGGCAAACCTTGCGCCCTGGCTTGGCCGTTAATGTTTAGATTTACCCTAGCTTGTGTGGTCTAGGAGGCTTAGGGATCAAATTCCACTCTGTGTTTATACTTTTAACTAATCTCATTTTCAGCTTCAGGCCTTATCCTCCCCCTCTATAGACCACTCCTGTGCCTGTTTCCCTGTCTTTACAAGGGCTGTTGTATCCCCTGTCTGCTGCTCCTCTTTCGGATTCTCCTGTACTTTCTTTTTTGTACATTCATTGATTCATTTTATTGTTTGGTTGACAAGGTCTTGCTTTGTCTCCCAGGCTGGTGTGCAGTGGTGCAACCACGGCTCACCGCAACCTCGGCCTCCCAGGCTGAAGCAATCTCCCCACCGCAGCCTCCCAGAGTAGTCAGTAACAGGTGGCACCCAGGATTTTTTTTTCTCTCTTTGTTTAGACAGGGTCTCAGGGTCTCACTGTTGCCAGGGCTGCTCTGCAACTCCTGGTTTCAAGTGATCCCCTTGCTCCCCCTACTCAGGCCTCCCAAACGTTGGAATTACAAGGCATGAGTCACCTCCAGGCCCTTCTGTACTTTCAAAACTCTGCCTCAGCCTATAAACAATGCTATTAAAGTTTATATGGCTTCAGCTCCACCACATGGATCCTTTTGCACTCAGGGTTGTGCCATTTGTTTCTGTTGATACATCCAGTTCTAGTCCATTTGTCTTAAGTGCCTGTGTGTTTATCTACTGAGGGACAGTATTACTTCTTTTTCCCTATTATCCTGTGCTACGGTAAATGTCCTTGTGTCTCCTAGATGCTTAGACGACTTTCTGCAGGACGAATGCAGAAGGAGAGCCTGTTTCTGGGCCATGAGGTGTGCACATCTTGCGTTTTGCTGGGCATTGGCAGAGGGTTCTCCTGTGTGGCTGCATCAGTTGGCGCTCCCGCAGTGTGCACAGTTCCTGTTGCTCATGTTTGCCAACACGGACACTACCAGACTCTGATTTTTGCCCATTTGATGGAAGTGGTACCCCTGTTAGAATTTTCATGACCAGAAATTCAAATTTAATTCTTTGCCATAGGAAAGCATCAATCCTCTTATGCCTCATGTTCCATTATTGGAACACTAAGCATGTGGGAGTTATTGACGTCCTACTGCTCGAGGTCATCGCTGAGGTCTGATTTTTTCACTCATCGAAAAATTTGCAGACTCACAGCCTCCTGCATAAATGGGTTAATGAACCACATTTTCCCGTTTGTATTGTTGGCCAGTGATGGCGTATGTGCATTTTGTTTGTTTGAGATGGAGTCCAGGCTGGAATGCAGTGGTGTGATCTTGGCTCACTGCAACCTCTGCCTCCCAGATTCAAGTGATTCTCCTGCCTCAGTGGGATTACAGGCACGTGCCACCATCCCCAGCTAATTTTTGTAGCTTTAGTAGAGACAGGGTATCACCATGTTGGTCAGCCTGGTCTTGAACGCCTGACTTTGTGATCCGCCCACCTTGGCCTCCCAAAGTGCTGGGATTACAGGCGTGAGCGACCACACCCAACCTAATTATTTGTTTGTTTAGAGACAGCATCTTGCTCCTGCCCATGCTGCAGTGCAGTGGCATGATCTCTGCTCATCACAACTTCTGCTTCCTGGGTTTAAGCGATTCTCCTGTCTCAGCTTCCTGAGTATCTGGGACTACAGGTGCCTCCCACCAAGCCCAGCTAAATTTTGTATTTTTAGTAGAGTCAGGGTTTCACTATGTTGGCCAGGGTGGTCTGGAACTCCTGACCTCATGATCTGCCTGTCTCAGCCTCCCAAAGTGCTGAGATTGCAGGCATAAGCCACTGTGCCCGGCCCCTATTCATTTTTATTTTAAATTTTAATTTTCTAAATAGAGATGGGGTTTCACTATCTTGCCCAGGCTGGTCTTAATCTCCTGGGTTCAATTGATCTTCCCACCTTGGCCTCCCAAAGTGTCAGAATTACAGATGTGAGCCAGTGTGCCCAGCCCAGAACTTTTATAAATGCTGTGTTCTGAGAAGGTTGTGTGGCTGGCAGTCTTGACTGTGTTATCTGTCTTTACCAGCTCAATAACTTCTTTGGTCTGGTCATCAAGATAATCGAGCATCACCAGCAAGTATGCATGGAGGAGGATGGGACCAGCAGAGAGCCCTGTGGAAGGCATGTAGATAATCTGCCCTCACAGACCTGGAGGGCTGGGCTGTTCGACGGCCCTGTGACCTGCTGACCTGGACTCGGGCCCAATGTGTGCACACACAGTCACACAGCTTCCTGCCTTGCACAAGTCTCGGCAGGGCAGTGCCAGCCACAGGCTTTTCCCATTCGAGGGTTGAAAGCCTCTGTGAAACCACATCAGAGTGCTGGGGGCCACCTGCCACCCAGTCCCAACCTACCTAGTCCTACTGGTATTTGGGATGTGCTTAGTTTTGGCAGTCAAGATGGCAGAACAAATCAGCTGTTACTGATTGATTGACTGAGTCTCATTCTTGTCGCCCAGGCAGGAGTGCAATGGTGTGGTCTCAGCTCACTGCAATCTCTGCCTCCCAAGTAGCTGGGATTATGGGCATGTGCCAGCACACCTGGCTAATTTTGTATTTTTAGTAGAGATGGGTTTCGCCATGTTGGCCAGGCTGGTCTCGAATTCTGGA